TGCATAAAGAGCTCTTACAAATCAATAAGAAAAAGATGAATATAAATAGAAGAACAGGCAAAGGACAGGAATGTCAATAAACACAGAAACAAATGCTCCAGCCCACAGGTAATCAAGGGAGTGCAAATTGAGACCACGAGATACCATCACTCACAGCTCCAAGAGACTGAGATAGTTTTAAAAATTGTAATAGGTAAGCGTGGAGTAAAATAGGTGTTCACGTGCTATTTATGGGAGAGTAAATAGCATAGGCTTTGTAGGGGCTATGTGGCCCTGCAGATCAATGTCTTCTGTATGTTCCTACCTCTGATCTGACCTGTTCTAGGAAGTAATCTTAAGGAAATAATTCAAAGTGTCTGCAGATATTTATGTTTAACAACAGCTGATTTTTATGTTATTTATAATAGTAAATCATTATCTAAATATCCAATGATTGGAAGTTAGTTAAATAAAATGTGGCACATTAATATAATGGAACATAATGAAACATAATGAAATGTGGCCTTTTAAGATGTTTCTGAATATATAATGATGATGGAAAATCAATACAAGGTTAAGATGGGAAAAAGCAGGAAATTATATAAATATAAATATAAATGTATATATAAAAATAGGCTTCCCAGGTGGCGCTAGTGGTCAAGAACCCACTTGTCTATGCAGGAGACATAAATGATGAGGGTTGATCTCTGGGTCCAGATTCTCTGGAGGAGGGCATGGCAACCCATTCCAGTATTCTTGCTTGGAAAATCCCATGGACAGAGGAACCTGGTAGGCTACAGTCCGTGGGGTCACAAAGAGTTGGACACAACTGAAGTGACTTAGCATGCATGCATGTGTGTGTGTATATATATATGTTATATGTATATATATATAGTTCTTTTAATTAGAAAGTTATATGTATATAGTACAATCCCAATTCTACTCAAAGTGATAAATAATGGATTCTAAAATGTTTATTGTTTTTATCTTTTAGTGATGAGATTAGGCATGGCTTTTCTTTTAGCTAAAATTTTCCATAAAGAACATTATTCTTTTAATTAGAACGTTATATAATTCTAAAAGAGTAAGCCTTGGTAATTCTATTTCTAGAATTATACCCAAAACATTCTCGCATGTAACTCTCACAACCACGCCATGAGGTTGATACTATTATCTCCATGTGACAAGTGAGAGACAGAGGCCGGGGTGAATAACGTGATGAGCCTAATGTTACTCCGGGCTTTGTCAGATCTATCTGACACCAAAACTATGAATCAAGATGATACACAGAGGGCTATAACAGGAAAAAAGTACACCTGCTGGGTGGAATGGCTGTGTAAACCAGTTTGCAGACATGACAGAATACCATGTAGGGTATTCTGATGTTAGGGAATCACTTTTTATGACATGGAAAGATGCTCTATAAAGTTTAAAAATGAAAGATGCAAAATTCATTGGCAACATGGCCCCAGCTATGGTAAAAATTCAAAACAAAAGGAAGACTCGAAGAAAATATGATAAAATATTAACAATAGCTATCTCTAGACAATTGGGTTTTAGAGATTATTACCTACTTCATCCAATGGACATGAGTTTGAGCAAACTCCAGGAGACAGTGAAGGACAGTGAAGCCTGGTGTGCTGCAGTCCATGCGGTCACAAAGAGTTGTACACAACTTAGCCATTGCACAACAACCTACTTCATCATACCTGAAAATATTACATAATGGGTGTTGCTTTTATTACCAAAAATGTTCCATATTAACTGAACAACAACAACAAAAGAACATGCCACCCATTATGACTCCCTTCCTCATACTGATCTACCCACTAAGGCCAAGGTGAAGGCTCACCTCCCCCATGAAACCCTCCTTGATTTGCCCAGTCCATTCTGCTCTGACCTTTTAAATCATGTCTTCAAAGTAGATCTTTGACTCCTGGCTTTAGAAATTATCACATGGGTCTCTTGGGACATCATAGGTCTTGAGCTGAATTCCCTATCAAGTATTCTAGAATCCCTGGGTGGGAAGCACATCACTATCTTCTATTCCTGAGTCTTACGTGTGTTCACTGGTGCCAACATAGCTGCCATTACTGTACCTTCTGTAGCCTGGGCCAGGCTGGGACATGGTAGACAATTACCAAGAGCAGTACTAGTCTATGATGATGTCCTCACAGTCCGTGGAAAATGAGAAAACTCAAGAGTGAATTTTCTAAAACACTAAGTTTATTCAACTCTCCCATCTTCTGGGATTATATCCTTCCTACTCTTCAGTGGTAAAACATTCACCATTTTTTGAAAAGATGGGGTGAAGAGTAGATGGTAATTGTAAAACCTTGTTTAACAATCTCATAACTGGCAACTTCATGTTACTTCCCCTATTTTCATCACATTTCATGGTCCATAAGATACTAAACATTGCAGCTAACTTTTTTGAAGAAGGGAGTTTATTTTTATTACATTTGTAATCTAAACAGTGCTGGCATCCACTGAGCAGAACTAGAATATTATTTGTTGCCCTTTAGAGAAGGATTCCTAACTACTCAATCTCACATAGCTTTCCTTTTCCCAATTATTTCCCTCATATCATTTATAATTATCTAGATTATATTCCAGTATTCATTTGCTTTTTTTTAAATGCTGTCCCACTATGGAGAATGAATGTCTCATGAAGACAACGTCTTAGCCTGGTTCATTGTTGATGCATGTAGTAGGCGCTCAATAGATATTTGTTAAATAAAGGAAGACCTTGGAGCAGGAAAGGGTAGAGGAGGACTTTGGTCAGAGTTTTAAAATATTAGAAAATCAAATTTAGTATTAGAGTTATTGATGGGTAATATACCAGTTCTGGAATTAGTTCTAGCTACATACTAGCTATATACTAGCATGTGGTTATCTTGTATCCGGAGAAACCTCTTATAAAGGTTTCCTCTGGTGCCCAGTCATTCTGGGAATAAGACATTAAAATCAGAGTAAACGCACTGAGCAGGATTCCTGGCCGGTAGCACTGGCAGGACGTGTTTAGTGGAAACATACATACAACTCAATTGCAAGCAGCTCTCCATCCCCAGTTTCTGATTAACACTCTCCTTCCCCAATGCCTCTCAGCTTCTCTTCAAAAACAAATCATTTTTTTACTGTAGTTGATGAGAAAATGCCCTCTTGTGGGCGTGACAGTGGACCACCTCGATAGTCTCTGAAAATGTGACTGTTGAAGAGAACTCCTTCATTAGACTTAAAGATTTAAAAAGAAAAAATTCCAAATATCAACCCTTTGGTAAAGTGAAAATGCATTTTCTAAAAGGCCATTAAACAGTACTCGACTCACTTCTGCATGTCTAACTTAGCAATGCAGGTTCTGATTATCTTGAACAGCATCATCACAAAGATAATTATTTTCCTTTCTAAACTTCTGTATGATCTACTAATGACGGGGTGGCTGTTTTTTTTTCTTTATCATCGCCCAGAATCTTCCTCCTTTCTGCTCCCAGGAAACCATCACCTGAGATTGACAGGCAGCAATTGAAAATAATAAAATTATGTAAGATGAGCTTGTAATCACCAGCATTTCACAAGCAGCAAAATGCATTTCTCTCTGGCTGAGGAACAGAAAGTTTCTTCCTCATTTTAAATCTGTATCAGAGGTAAAGCCTTCTATTAAAACACAATTCTCAGTACACTTAGAGCCTCTGGCAGACTGCCAAGGAGACGATCAGGGAACCACTACTGCAGAGAAGCAGGCCGTCAAAGGCCTAGAGGAGCATCCTGAGAAACCAGCAGTCTCCTGAATTCTTGGAGGGTTCCACCCGCAGCCGCCCTCACCCCTCTGGGCAGGCTCCTGCTAGTGGACACACACATGTGCTCACACACACACACTCACCACCCCCCCCCACACCTCCTTCTGGAAGGATGTGGGGTAGGTAAACATTCAGAAAATCACTCTCTGTCTTTTACTCTACACGCACGCACACTCTCTCTCTTCCTGGGATTCTTCTTTTCTTTTCACTCCTTTTTTCCCCGTGTTACTGACATCATCATTGTTATTAAATTATAAATCCAGGTCCAGGATCTGGTTAATTGCAACCCTTTTGCTGGATGTAATTTACAGGTACAAGTGACCACTTGGGGGCACAGTTATTTGAGAAGGCTGGCACTCGGCTTGCAGGCAACAACACAGGCTTTTTGGGCTTAGCATCTGCTTTAGCTTAGCTGTCTCTGGGAAGAGAGACCCCCCAACCCTGGGTCCTGCCGGAGCCCCAAAATGGAATAGAACCTTGAGAGAATTGTTCATTTAAGATGAGTCTGAGATTCATTGTGAAGATTATTACATGTGGAATTATATGAAATTATTTTGGTCCTTCCTCCCTTTAAAAAAACCGGTTGTTTAAAAATCTCTTCCACATTGCGGCCTGTCCTTTTCCTGTTTTCATCAGTATTTGTGTGGGCATGTACACAAACACATTGCTCACAGTGGCAGGTGGCAAAAATTAACCTTATTTGTATAGTTAAATTTCTTTCCCCTGTTAAATAAGCTTTTATTTTATGATAAATATGCTGACAGATTTTTAAAAAATCTATTTTTAAATGGGAAAAATTTTAAGTAGAATTTTAAAAGTAGAAAGATGACTACTGTTAACATTATGGCACATTTTCAGTCATTTGTTCTGTTCTTTTTTTTTTTAAACATACTTGACATCATAGTATATATATACATAATATGTCCTTGGTTTCTTTTTATTAACAAAGTTTCCTTTTAAAAAAGGATTTTCACACTAAACAAACTCACAATAAGTTGCTTAAAGAATTTTGTTCTCAATGCCCAAAGAAGTGTTCTGTATTTTCCCTTGTCTCCTGATCTGAACACAAGGAATGTTTTTCACGCCATCTCTTTGCCATCCCCACCCCAGCACTCAAATACATACTGTGAAGACAGATATTCCCTGAGACAAACCAGGTTGTCTGGGTTCATCGCTGCTGGGCAGAGGGGAGACACAAACCCGGGTTGGGGGAGAAGAAAGAGGATGAGGTGGGGGTGCACGGCAACAACCAGGAAACAAACGCTGGCTTTTACCAGCGACACCAAGGCCCGAGGCCTCAGGATGAGCATGTGAGTTAGCATCCTGGGAAGGTCTGTGGGTGGTATGCAGAAAAACGGGAGCGAAGATCATCTTTTGTGGCTCAGATTTGAATGCACAGTCATTTCACATCCAGAGAAGGGATCCCTTATCTAGTCACACATTTTAGGAAGTCATTTCTGCTTGCTTGTGTCAAAAACCAAGACAGAAAATTCCCCAGGGTCTGCACTCTCTCACCCAGCATGACTTGAAGCAGCACGGGATTCACAGGAGGGGATCCCTACCCAGACCGGAGGCTCTCACCCCTCTTCCCACACTCGTGATGCTGTTTCCATGCTCTAGGATTTGGGGTTCCAGTCCCACTCTGCCTCTCACTGTCACGTCTTAGGTGGCACTCCTCTTCTCTGGGCCTCACTCGATCAAACTGTGACATGTATCCAGCACTGCCCTACACTCTTAGAGGAAAATCAACAGAGGGATATAGACAAAAGGGGAAGTGCTCAATCCCCCAGGAGCACACAATCAGCTGGAGACCCTTAAGGCGGGGTTACATGGAGAACCTGGGTCACAGGCTCCTCCTAGAGGAAGCCGTGAAGGACGGGCAGGATCTGAACTGGGCAGAGATGGGCAAACCTTCCAGAGATGAAAGAGGGGAGTGGGGAGCCAAGGGCAGCCTCAGTCTGGCAGAGTGGCTCCTCGGAGCCAGCTGACAGTCCCTCTGTCCCCAGGTAGGCAGGCACGACTCATCAGGCCTTGACTTGCTGAAATAGGCTCCGGGCCCCATTCCCTTGTCCTGGGAGCCTGAGCCCTGTGGGTTCTGGCCAGGGAGCGCACCACACCGTCACAGGGCCCAAGCACCCCACAGCCATGCCAGCAACATCTCTTAGAGGTGAATTCAGAGCAATGCATCCTTTAGAAATCACAGTGCAGACCTAGGCTGGCCATCCAGGCTTACTCCTCACAGAGGAGAGTAGATTCATCTGCTGTATTGGGCTTGTAAGCTGGTAGATTGGGGATGGGGGTCCTGGGTGTTCAGAGGGAGGGACTTGAACAGAGGGAGGGTGACCGTCATCAGCATGCCTGCCCTGGGAGGTCCTCCAGCTGCCTGCTTGGGGGTGGAGGAGCGGGGGAGTGGGGTGGTGCTTCCCAGTGACCATGCTCACCCTTATCAGCCCTGTGTCCCCACAGTTCTTTCCTGGAGGCGACAGCCCCAGTTGCCACCTACACACCATCCTTGCCTCATCTACATCATGCAATGAGGCACTGCCCAGGAATGTGGACGCAGGGGAGACAAATGAACTCAGCTTTCACACAGATGAACTTTGTGTGAATTCCTGCCTTGCAGGAATGACCCCGCCCCCCACTTACAGGCCTGTTAGAGGCGGTAGGTAGAGCAGCAAAGCTATTATTAGTGTTATTATATGAGGTGGCTCTGTTCCAAGAGATGAAGTAACCTGCCTAAGATTTCATCATTCCTAGGTGGCCCTGCTAAGACGCTGAGCTCAGACCCACATGGAAGTGAAGGCCACGTGGGCTCTCGAGCACAAGGTCTCACTACTACTTCAGGAGCCAAGATGCTGCTCAGAAATGTGGACGTGGAGGACAACACTGATCTCAGAGTCAGACTGCACACTCACTTGAGAATGGGTCACAGCAGAGAGGGCAAGGTCACCCTAAGGACAGAATTCTCATACAAAGGCCTTCACATGGTGGCAGAAAGAACATGTCAACCAGCCCTGAGGATGCAAACCATAAAGGAAGGGGCCAAGCTGGGGACCAATCAGCCCAGCCCTATCCCCTGTCCCTACCCCTGGCATCTGGTCAATTCTACAGGTGGCTGCTTGGACTGGGAAGGTACAATCATGGCTCAAAGACATTGACCTTTAAGGCCACCCACCAACCTCCTGTCTTCACAGCAGAGCCACCACACAGTCTTTTGAAACTCAACTTCCTGCATGATGTGCCTTTAAGGGAGAAATGTGTCCAGTAGCCACAGGAGCATCTGGTCTATCAGGTGCCACACTTTCAGTGTAAATCACCCAAATACCACGACCTGGAGATGGTTCAACTCTGGGGAAGCTGCCAGTCCTGCAGAAAACCCCCTGCATGGAGAGCTTGTGTGACAACCCCAACCCATGGGGATACTCCCAGTTGGCCAGCTAACATCCTCACTCGCCGCCAGCTGTCCCTAGATACTGCAACACTCAATGTCCATCCACAGGAGAGTGGACACACCAACTCTGGTACACACCATGGAACCCTATTGAGCAATAAAGAAAGAGCTACTGGGGTGCATGTCAACATGGATAAATGGTGCCTGGGGTGGGTTGAGTGAAACCCGTGGGTAGCAGGGTATACACTACATGCTTCCATTCACACGGAGTCACACGGCAGTTGGAACTCATCTCTGGTGACTGACATTAGAAAATGGTCAGGAAAAGAAGGGGGTTTGCTTAGAAGAGGCACATGGGAACTTTTTGGGGTGATGAAAATGTTTTACATTTTCCTTTGGACGGTGGCTCCAGAGGTTTATACAGTTATCAGAACTCAGTGAACTGAACACGTGGGGGTCTGTGGATTTTATTGTACTGCCTCAACTATTACACCTCAAATAAAACACATACATATATAATAATATGTACAATGCCCAGCAAAGGCTAAGGCATACAGCAAGTACTTGAATTGTTGAACTGTTAAAGTGAGTGACTTTTTGCCTCTAAGCAAATGATTTAAAGAATTTATTAGGAGAGCCAGTTTAGAATGTCTTCTTTTTATTCTGGTAAAAACATATAACATAAAATTTACCATTTTAACCAGTAAGGTGGACAGTTTGGCAGCATTAAATACAGTCACACTGTTGTCCAAATATTATCACCACCCATTTCCAGAGCTTTGTCATCTTCCCAAACTAAAACTGTGCCCACCAAACAACAGCTCCTCATTCCCCTCTCTTCCCCAGCCTCTGGCAACCACCACTCTCTGTCCTGTTTTTATAAATCTGACTACTAAGTACCTCATATATGTAGAATCATAAATTTGCTGTTAAGTCAGTAAGCTGTGTCCGACTCTTTGCAACCCCATGGACTGTAGCACACCAGGTTTTCCCTATCCTCCACTATCACTTGGAGTTTGCTCAAGTTTATGTCCATTGAGTCAGTGATGCTATTTAACCATCTCATCCTCAAACAATATTTATATTTTTATGACTGGTTTATTTCACTTGGCATAACGCCTTCAAGGTTCAACCATGTCATAGCAAGTGTCAGACTTTTCTTCCTTTTTAAGGCTGATTAATACTCTGTTGTATAATACGTTTTATTTATCCAGTCATCCACTGATGAATACTCGGGTTGCTTCTGCCTTTTGGCCACTATGAATAATCCTGCTATGAGTGTGGGTGTATAAATATCTGAGTTCTAGCTTTCACTTCTTTTGGGTATTTATTGAGAAGAAGAATTACAGAATTGTATGATAACTGTATGTTTAATTTTTTGAGGAATCTCTATTCTGCTTTCCTTGGTGGTCACACCATTATACTGCTATAAGCAAAGCATAAGGGTTCTGATTTCTCCACATCCTCACCAATACTTTTTATTTTCTATTTTTTAAAGAATTATAGTGATCTTAATGGGTGTGAGATGGTATCTCATCATGATTTTGATTTGCATTTTCCTAATGACTAGTGATATCGAGCATCTTTTCATGGGCTGGTTGGCTATTGGTATATCTTCTTTGGAGAAATGTCTGTTCAAGTCCTTTGCGCATTTTAAAAATCAAGCTGCTCACTTGTTGTTGAGTTGAAAGTAAATAAGTTTTATTTGTAGCTATGTGCAGGACTGAGTGAGGTGGGCATGGCAACACACTCCAATATTCTTGCCTGGAGAATCCCACGGACAGAGGAGCCTGGCGGGCTACAGTCCATGGGGTCTCAAAGATTCGGACATGACTGAAGCGACTTAGCACACACACATGCACACACGCAGGACTCCCCAGCGTCACATGCTCAGTCCCTAGAAGTCAATCTCACATCCCTGTTCCTGTCCCCAGTGGCCCCTAGGTAACACAGCACAGGACCCTTTTTCTAGGACCAAGGAGACCATACCTGGCCTAGGTGTCTCTTCCAGATATCAAAAAATGCTTCTGAAGACCAGATGTCCAGGGAGGCTTATCTAGAATAAAAAGAGCTGACAGCTACAGCTCTCCAATTGCGATTTCACAGTTCAGTGAGTGCCCACCCCTCCCCCGCAGCCTCCCCAGGAGCCTTCCCCAACAAAGAGGGCTTTTTGTGGTTTCTGCAGAATCTTGGAGAGAAGTTTTAGATTCTGAGGTAGGAGCCTGAGCAGGCGGTGGCTCTGGAATGCCCTGTCTGCCTGGGGATGTGAGGGAGAGAGTAGGGGAGAGGCCAGGGTGGTCACCACAGCCCACCTGGAAACCCAGGGCGGAAACTCTTGCCACCAGAGGACGGTGCGTGTGGCTTTATCTCAGCAAGGCAGTAGCGCCAGCTGCTTTCTTATTAGTCTCTCCACTGCTGCCGGTGACCTTCCCTCACGTCCGAGTCACTGGTGTCTTCCAGCATGTCACACCACCCACGTCCCTTCCTTCCTGAAAACCCCGTGGGCTTCTGCCGGCCTGACTTCTACCGCAGGGGTCCCAGAGCAGACCCTCCTAGAGACCTGGGGCCGGTGAAAAAGAGAGGTGGTGACTTTGTGGAGAGGGAAAAAGGGACTTCCATGAACCACGGTTTCCATAAAAATCATTTTTTTCTCCTTGGGGGGTTAAAGGAGAAAATTTTAGATCCTAGTACCATTTAATTGTGGAGAAAGGCATTTTTTCCCACAGTGCATGAAGCCACCCCGGTGCTCTTTTTTTTTTCCCTTTTCCCGCAATGTGTTGCCATAGATCGGTAAGTTGAGAAGCTTCGGAGCTTCTACTTGGCACACCCAGGTTTCAGCAAGAAAAAAGTTCCTTTCACAGTTTGAATATTATTCAAGTTTTGAAGATTAAAGCTGGTTGGAGCAGCATGAACCGAATA